CACCACCATCTTTGGCGATTTTTCATTTTTTTTTTGGCATAGCTAAATGCCCTGAAAATTTACAGATGTGTACTTCACATAATACAAAACCCACTAAAAAAGTTTCAAAAAATAATAAAATATTTTAGACCCCGAACTAAAGTGAAAATAAAAAGTAAAAAGTGAAAAAATATGTGGGCGAGCACGTTTTGACACCGCCATCTTTGGCGATTTTTAATTCTTATTTGGCTTAGCCAAATGACCTGAAAATTTACAGGCATGTACCTAACGTCATAGAGAACTCACAGAAACAAATTCAGAAAAAAAAACATTATTTTTAGGCCCCGAAATAAGTTTTGGCGGGGGCCGAACGCGGTTGGGTTCGAACCCCGTACGGGACCCCGAACGCCCATACGTACGGAGGTCTGCCCGGGGACCTCCGTACATACGGGCTGGTGACCCTGTATATATATATCGTCACAAACAGAACTGCCCGGTAAACCGTTGGCAGAGATATATATCGTCACAAACAGAACTGCTATATATATCGTCAAATAGAACTGCCCGGTAAACCGTAGGCAGAGAGGGAGATATGGTCACAAATAGAACTGCCCGGTAATATATATATATCGTCACAAACAGAACTGCCCGGTAAAACCGTAGGCAGAGAGAGAGAAGAGGACAACAAACGAGGGGCTGTGACAAACTGTTTATATATTTTTTGGCGCGGCCGGGCAAATGACTCCGGGCCACTCTGGTAGCCTAGTTCTTTACTTTATTTTTTATTTTAAATTTGGTAAAGAATTTCGATAGGACCAGGCAAGGTATGGCAGCCACAGGGCAAAATCCAAAAAAAAAAAAAAAACGATCAGGAACATTAAGGAGAACTAGGCTACCAGAGTGGCCCAGGACCACTTGCCAAGCCGGGCCAAAAAACAATGAAAAATAAAAATGAAAAATTGTTTCTGTTCCTAGGCTACCAGCCGGGCCGCCCGGGTCCCATTGAAAAAAAACTATGTTATGCAGAAAAATAAACTGAACAACTTTTGCCTCAGGGTCACATCCAAATTCTTCACCAAATTTAGAATAAAAAAATAAAATTTATTAATTTACAAATACTTATTTATTTATTTATTTATTTTGGCGCGGCCGGGCAAATGACTCCGGGCCACTCTGGTAGCCTAGTTCTTTACTTCAATTTTTTATTTTAAATTTGGTAAAGAATTTCGATAGGACCCTGAGGCAAAAGTTGTTCAGCTGATTTTTCTGCATAACATTTAGTTTATTTTTTTTAGTTTTTTTTATAAAAAAAAACACTCCCAGCCCCTTCTATTCTGGGGGGCGTCAGTCCGGTTGCATATCACCAGCAAGCGAAGTTTTTGAAACAAGCAGCACGGGAGATTAAATAGAGAAGAGAGTCAGCCTGCCGTTGTGGCTCGAGCCGCCTGTTCAAGGGGGAGGTTGCTTCAGCGCCACCAGCTCCCATCCTTCGGCCTTTCCTCGGGGATTGTCCTGCAAGCCGGGAGGCTTACTAGCAGCACCCAGGCACGCTGCAGGATAATCCCCAAGGGGTCAAGGCACGGGGGGGAGGGTTGCCCTGCCAGGCCCTCTGGTCTCATGTTACTTACTCAACCCATTCCCACCATGTCCACCAGGGCCCCCCATTCCCTCTACCTCCTACCCCCACATCATCTGCATCCCTGATTCCTTGTGTCTTTACTGTCCCACACCTCCTCCCAAACGGTTTTCCTAACTGTGCTCCTATCTCCCTACTCCTAATCCTTGATCCTATTTGGATTCTATTTCTGCCGTGACCTCCTTTGGTCCTTGCACGGCGAGCCGCCTGGGCAAACAAGGTGACCTGGGCAGCCCGGCTGGTAGCCTAGGTGGAAAAACAATATGTTGTGTGGACTTG